AATAATAATAATAATAATAAGAAAAGAAAAGAAAAAGCAGGAGGGCATGATGACAACCCAGTATGGATTCAGTCAAAACTAGTGCCATTTGCCACAGAATGCAAGTTTACAACCTAACATTGACACTTAGAAAGGGAATAAACATACCCTCAGTATACTTCCACCAGCAACACCACCTTTTATCTCATCAACCTCAAACCCAGGCTTATTGACATCAAATGACCGGATCACAATCATATTTGGTGGTGAAACAAAATTCCTCTCTGGAATTGGTATTTTCTTCACAATATATTCACACACAACATCAATATTATATTTCAGCTGGGCAGAAATTGGCACCACTGGAGCACCATCAGCTACAGTACCCTGTATCCAAAAATGATGGGCAATTTTCAGAAGAGACATCATAAACAACTAAGTTCCATTCATCTTTTGGAAACAAAATTTTGTAACCTGAATGAATTTCTGAATAGCATCATGCTGGTTAATAGCAACATTCTCCTGAATGAGATCGATTTTGTTTTGAAGAATTATGATATGCTGAAGACGCATAATTTCTACAGCAGCAAGATGTTCAGAAGTTTGAGGTTGGGGACAGCTTTCATTGGCAGCAATGAGAAGTAATGCTCCATCCATGATTGCTGCTCCATTAAGCATGGTAGCCATGAGAATATCATGACCCTGTTAAAAATAGGAACAATGTCACGAATCAGCCACAGGTTCACAAAATTTAGTTTTAGACAGGTAATATGTTGCCAAAATTTCCTCCTTTTAGTTTTCTTTTGTCTTGATATCTAAACTAAACAACAAAAATATCTGCAAACAGGCAGAAGTACTCGATAAGTTCACAAAATAGCCCCAACCACTAATAAAACAAATTCAGACAAAATAAGGGGGAAAGCTCATACAAAACTAAAGTGATGCTTCATTTTCTCCAGGTCTACAAACTCAATGTAAACAAGATTAATTGCCAACAAAATCCATAGAAAAGATTGGGAAAAAAAATTATTGAAATCAGAAAACCAGGCAAAAACAAAAATAACCATAATCCCTACTATGCAAAAAACTAATACACCAAAGGCAACATAATCGGAATATTTTACAAAATGCAAGTATAACAGACCAAAAAGAAGCAGCCTATACTTGACATATCCATAAAGTCAGTCTTTAGCACCTTACCGGGCAATCAACAAAAGACACATGTCTTAGCAACTTCATCCTGGAGTTTTCAAAGCCAGGCACATCACACATGGGACAGTCTTCCTTTCCACTTCCATAAGCTCTGCAAATCATATCTTCAATTAACATAAAAACCATTTACATTGATAGACAGAAAAATGATAATATTTGATATATGAACCTACTTATAGCACATGGGTCGAGGGCAGTGCTCATCTTCACATTTGTATATCTTTGCATTAGCATATCCCAGTTTGATAGTAATGTTTCTCTCCAACTCATTTTTAAAGCGAACAGTCTGCAGAAAGATCAAAACCCAGATACGGAACTTTTTAGCTTCATATATGTAATTATTTTTGCCAAGAATATTTACAGAACAGCAATCAGAAACTAGTTAATTGATACTTGGCTTAAACTATCAACATCGAAAGAAATTAATCTCTATGAAATAAACATAAGAAAAAACCCAGAAAAGGGTGAATGTCATTAATCATTAAGCATACATCCCAAGATATCTTCACTTCCAAATGCTCAACTCAGAAGATGGCATACATTCAAATGCTTGTAAATTATACAGTACTATTATAATGACCTTGTCATGTCCTTATTCTAATGTTGCCTATCAACTCAGCAACATGTGTTAAGTGAATTGGAATTCTACTTGACAGATGCAGATAGATGAACTAGTCTTACAATTTACACTTTCTGGACATGAATCCAATAACTCTACAAAGGCGATGCAACTTGCAACATATATTAAGCACGCTAGGAACTAGAATCAGTTTTGATGCTTACACTCTACACCATAGAAAACGTAACAAGTGAGGTACATTACCTGAACACCTGATATTGCTTTGACAACTGTTGACTTCCCATGTGCCACATGGCCTATGGTGCCTGAAAATAAATTAAATTCCAAATCATCAGTTTAATCAATAAATGAAGACCAACATCCAGGACGCATGATCGGCTTAAGCATTTCAGAGACAGATAACTACCAATATTTATGGTGGCCTGCCGAGATATAACCTCTGGGGAGAGAGGATGCAACTCTGTTACATCCAATTTGCTCAGATCCTGCTCCATCAAGCCCCTTCTCGACATATTTGCTGCTTCTAGATGGTCCCTTCGCTTGTATAGTTCTGCAACCATAAAATAGTAATAAATTGTCAAGAAGGAAGTATTATCCCAAAACAAGGCACAAGCATAGTAATATACAAAATCCTAAGAACCCAGATCAAATCCCCAACAGAAACTATGCTGAACAACAGAACCATAAAAGCATAAATGACATTCAATCCCATTTCAACTACAAAAGCCCACATCGATTAAACATAGATATATCACATTAAAATCATTATCAATCTAGAAAGGATCCACCATGGACAATAGAACACTAGAAAAATCGCCTCAAAAATGGGGGCCCAAACCCCCTAAAACCTGGAATCAAAGTTCCATTTCAGTTGAATCTTGACAGCTCAAAACACTATCAAAAAAGGAAAACCCATGAATTGAAAAAGAAACAGAGCATTGAAAGCCTGATACCAAAACCGAAACGAACCAAAACAAAACCCAAATCAAGAACAAGAAGAAATTCACAATAACATAAGGGAAGAATCGAAATTTGAAGCAGAAGCACGCGAGAGAGAAACAGAGAGAGATATATATAGACGGAGAAGCAAGAGAAGGATCGGAAAGAGCTGAATGGATGCACCTGATGGATGGAGAGCAACGCCGCCGCGGCGTTCTGCTTTGGTGGGGGTGGAACGCTGCTTCGAGAGAAAAGTTCATCAGCTAGGGAAACACTTGGGATTTATGTGGTCTTAGGGTTAGATTGGTAAATTTATAAAACGGGTCCAGGTCCAGGTCTGGTTGGCCCAAAATTAGACCCATATAAAAGGCGGTTGGGCCCAGGAAAATGTTGGGTTATATTTGTTCTTCCTCTTTCATTTTTTCATTTTTATTTAATTTAATTTTTTATTATTATATAAATGAAAATTTCATATTTTAACACGTGGATTACATTGAAATATAAAATAAGAATCATTAGATGAGAAGGGTGTCTCTAATATCAAGAGGCACGTCCCCATTTAATAGTTAAAATTATACAATTTGTAATTGTCTAAACTATATCATTTTTTTCATATAAATTATAATTATTTATTATTTATATAGAGTAATTAATTTCCTTCAATTTATCAAGCAAATATAAGAAATGAACCTTTTTAAATGGTTTGAGAAGGAATTATGTTAGTTACCTAAGAGTTGACTCAAAAAACCTTAATCATCCAAAACATAAAATATATATATAATAATATTGTTTATTTTTAACCTTTTATATGATATACTAAGTGGTAACTCGGTATAAGTAAATAAATACTTTGAGAGCTCCATTAATTTATTTTTTTTTGGAACATAAGGGAATTTGTTTGGGAGAAATGAAGTGAATTTTAGGTATAGAACTCAGGATATTATGTCTTAGCTTATTCATTCAAAAGAGTAATCACTAAGCCATCAAGAACTGAACTAAGAGCTTCATTAATTAAGAGAAATTCTTCGAGATTATTAGATGATTATTCGTGTGAGAAAACTTATTACTTTAGCTTTGACTATATATCATAATGTCTCACTTTATTGCGTTCTTTTGCATAAAGGAGTAGCCCTTAAAATTTAGAGAGAATGAGAAACGAAATTGCATCGATCAAATAACGCAGCTACGAAGAGATGATCTACAAGTACAAAAGAATTTGGATACCCCTATCACTCTTACAAAATAATAATAATAATAATAATAATAATAATAATAAATTCCTTGATCTCTTAGCCACTTCGCATTTATTGCTTCTGCGAAGTGATTTTCCATTCTCTACATGTCTGAATCTATTCTGCAGACGTTTGGTCACCAAAGATCCTCTGCCTAAAATCAGAGACCATTAGGGGAAGCCCTTTGCGGAGGGACACGGTTGGTTCCCAGCCAAGAAGCTGTTTAGCCTTAGTAATATCTGGTCTTCTCTTGTGTGGATCATCCTCTGTGTTAGGCCTGAACTCTATCTTTGCATTTCGATCAATTGTTTCTTGCACTACCTGTATATACATACCAAGATGCAATACAAAATCAATTATTACCTAATTAGGTAATGCCTATACTTCACTCTTGATCTTGTCAAGTAACGTATTATGCTTTATCAACATTCTTGGATTAATTAGATCATTAGTTATGTGATTTAATGATAAAGTTATATATATTTTTTAATTACAAGTTTAGAGTTTAATCTTAATCTTTACATTAAATTTTTTTAAAAAAATTTCTCAAATTAGACTAGTTTTGCGTAAAGAAAATTTACCTCAGCAAGCTCAAGCATGGTGAATTCGCCCGGATTGCCAAGATTGAAAGGTCCTACGTGATCTCCTTCCATCAACCGCATTAGACCTTCTACCTGTTAATTAGTTATGGAGATACAATCGTTTTCATCATTTTCATCATGATTTTCAGACAAAGAACTCTAGTTCATATTTTGCTTGATGTTGGATGTTCAAAAATTAGCTAAGGTTTACCAGGTCCGAAACATATTGGAAGCTCCTAGTTTGCTTGCCATCACCATAGACTGTCAATGGTTCCTTCCTCAGTGCCTGTTTCAATCACAAAACAGAGTACAAAACTTAGATAACATAGGATTAAAATTGATGTATAAAGAAATTTGAAAAGAAAAAAAACTCACTTGCGCTACAAAATTACTGACAACACGACCATCATCAATTGACATTCGAGGTCCATAAGTGTTAAAAATCCGAGCAATCCTTACCTGAAACATGAATTCAACCATCATTGTATTTTCTTCCTTTCGCATAAGCAAGAATAATATGAAATTCAATAAAGAACTACATATAAAATGAAGAAAATTAAAGTTGTAATGCATGACAAGTTTGAGTAACATGTAGTTAAATAGAACCTCAATGCCAGCGCCTCTGTGGTAGTCCATGGTCAGGGTCTCGGCGGTGCGCTTACCCTCGTCATAGCAGCTCCTTACACCTGCATTGGCATAGTGAGCTAGCTAGAGGCAACGGGCTGGATCAAGTGGGCTATATGGTGAAGGGGTGACGAACTTACCGATGGGATTAACGTTTCCCCAGTAGGTCTCCGCCTGAGGATGCTGGAGAGGATCGCCATAGACTTCACTGGTGCTGGTCAGCAAGAAGCGAGCTCCGACCCTTTTGGCCAGCCCCAACATGTTCATCGT